TGGAACTCGAGGTTTCTCCGTATCTCCTTGCTCAAGTCTGTAAAAAATTTCGATCGACGATGCTTCACATCCCCCAGGTAATACTATACCCCTACTTGATCGAATCCTCTTACTGAAATAAATCCAGATTTGGAGTAAAATAGTCGTTGACAGCTGCCATGAACGATGGCACCCTAGAGAATATTTCGGGTACCACGGATGCAATACTCTTGAAGACCTTAGGAAGGTACTCAGGAGATCTGGTGGCGTTCCACTGGATATTACAGTCCACAATGCATCTATTGAGATGACCCGCCTCCTGTTGGCGGAGCGACACCGTTGGCGTCGTCTACTATTTGACAAGTCAGATTGGCACAGTCAATCCGAGGATCCTTCAGAGGTTCTTTTCGAGACTCCGAACTCAACAATGGATCTTGAAGAGCTTTACCTGAACTCTGAATGTCACGAAAACATTTTGTCATGGGTTATGGTAGCCAAGCCGCGAATTTTGCGACTCTACAACTTCTCGCCTACGCCACTGGTGAACCTCACATGGTGGGATTCACTCCATACTCTAGAGGTTAACGGTGAATCTGAAGAACCTGGCTTCAATCTCTCTGTGTTTGGCATCCTGTCAGCGCTTCGACTCCAGCTTTCCCAGCTGGAGCTTCGGTCGATACCCTTCACGGAGTCCGACCTCGGAGGAGGTCTAGAATTTCCACAACTTCAGTCCCTTGAACTGGAGCAGGTTGGCTCCTGGTGGAAATTCTTCGCCCCAAGGCTCACTTCCCTTCACCTATACCCGTTCAATCCGGCCCCAGCTGGTGTGGTGTTGACTTACCCAAACGTCACCGAGTTTCAATACTCTGCTTATCATGCAGCACTCTTATCAGGGACTGTATTGCTTCCAAAGCTCGTCTCTATGCGGCTAAACGATCCTGTGGAAGGCACACCTGGAATCAACTTTGTGTGGTGTAAAGCAGATGGCACATTGTCTCAAACAGTCGCGAAAGAAATCACCATATCAGCATCGTATGGTAATTCGGCTCGCATTTCGTATAAAGAATTGATGGCGAGTCTGCGACCTCATACAAACCTCATGAAGCTACACATCGAAGAGTTGGTGCTCCCTGTCACATTCTACAAGGCGTTCATCAAGGGAAACTCACAGAAAGATGTTTTATGTCCAAATCTTTGCGAACTCGTAGTCGATTTGAGCGCTGGAAGCAGATCAATCAAGATAAAATTTGCCCAGTATAATGAGGTGTTCGAGACACTTGGGGCAGAGAGACGTCAAAGTGGCGCCCCTCTGCACCGACTTCGTATCATCTGGCCCGAATCAATCTCACAAGAACCCATAGAGTATACCTCTTGATGAATTCAGTGGCGTTATCACTCCCTTCTTCTCAACAAGTGAGAGTGAAACAAATAGCCTACCCTTCATAGGAAATTTTCTCTCTCGTCTTACAGCAATATATCCTAGTCAGCGGGAATTCATCAGACTCTCTATGTCGTTCCAATTACAAGAATTTCCAGCTATATGAAGCCAACACACTCCACGCAATTTAAAGTCGGTGGTCACATGCCCGGTCGACTTTGCCACAGTGAACAAAGAAAGTTGCCTTTGTTCTGCCATTCACTCCAGCACCATCCTTTGCACCTGCTAGAGCCATTCGTATTCTGGACGGAGGGTGTGGTAACAGCCTGTAATGGATTTCAGTCAGTCTTCTAGAAGTAGAGTTGAAGAATCTTGGCAGGTGATTTTAAATTTTCCTGAAAAAGGATTCGACCCTTCTACTCTTGTGAGGCATTCTTACTTGGGAGTTCTCACAAACTCAAGCATTTGTGTATTGTTCTCCTTTTTGGAGTAGCCACCTAATGGTCCAGGAGTAAATGCCCATGTCTTCTACTCCAATCACCCACTCTCAATTGCTGAAACGACTTCGATGCGGGCCCAAATAGAATATTGCAAAACAACTCGACAAGCAATCGCTCAGAATATCAAAGAGGTCAAGAAAAGATTGCAAGATCTCGAGGGTTGGAAAGTGAATAATGAAAAGATGATAGCAGTCCTGAATTGGTCTCTATCACCGATGCGTCGCCTTCCAGACGAAACGCTTATCGAGATACTTGAGCTATGTGTCCTGCAATACGAATCTAATCCTTGGCATCTCGCCCATGTCTCTCGACGGTTCAGGTTCGTTGCCTTCCAAGCTCATATGGTACGTGTACTCAGGTATTCCTGTTAAATTTACTAATCGAGGTATAAGATATGGACGAGGATACAAGTTGAGGAGGAGATAGATGGCCAGAAGCGACATGTGTGGGGCTGGGAACGGTGCTGTACAGTAAGGCACTTGCTAGGCGCATTCAAGAGGTCCGG